TCGAGCCGATCGGAAAGGACTCGGTCGTCGACGATTCGAGCCGCTCTGCGCTGGATGCGGTCAAGTGGAAGGAGCTGGCACTGGGGAGCCCCAGCCCAGAGATGGGAACAGTATTCCATGTGAGGCCGAACCTGCGCCTTGTAAAGTTGCAGGCGTTGAGCCGGCATGAAATACTGTCCCGCTCTACTGAGCACGCCAAGCTTTTTAGAGGCCAATTTGGCCTTCTCTTCCAAGTGACCACGAAACTGCACGTTACTCGATATGTCGACGCCGAGGATTCCGATTATGGCTGAGGCAACAAGGGGAGTACCTTGAAACTGAGGAGATACGACAAAGGGGTTCTTTTTAGCGGTATGAACCGGAGACCCTTTTTACTGGAGAAGAGGCATTCCATCTTAGTCCTCACGAGTGACAACGCAGCTGCATTTTGATTCGGAAACGAGGATAGATGTCTATGGGCCACAGCAACCACTTGCCATCAGGTGGACTGTGTGCTCGTTTGTCACTCAATCCTATAAAAAAAAATCTATTGTATAATATCAAGGAGCCTGTTTACTGAAATTTAACATATTGTAGTTATAATCTTTAAAAAAAAATGTGTATGTTGTTACTGTTTAAAAACAATTCAATTTCTAAGTCTTTGCCCAACATGCCTTGTATATTTTAATGCACCAGTGTATACAATTTTCATAATTATTGTTTATGTGAAATTATACAGTTAAATTATAAGTTTATTTGTGGGCTGCATTTTGGACAATTTATTATTATTGCTAAAGATTACCTCTGTTGTCTCATTTTGTAATTTAAATTACTTGGTACTAATTCCAAATTCAATGTTCAGTGATTATAACCACTGCTTAATAGAAGCAGATGTGTGGATAGCCAAATCCTTGGCTGCGTTAAAATATAAATAATACCAAGATTTTAAGAGAAAAGCACATTTGCTATCAGTCTTATACTATATTTGTATAGGTAAAACCTATCCCTGGTGAAAAATTTCTTAGTTGAATTATTAATATCATTAAAATGAAATCTATCATTATAATTCTTACAATTAAATGTCAAATGTAAATTATTATTACACGTCCGATTATTCAATTTAAATTATATCTTAGTTTATTTTCCTGTGGCCACTCCTTATGTAAGGCAATGTAAACAAGATAATTTTATGAAAACCTTATTACATAATTTAAGTGCATTCATTTGTTCATTCATACATACATACATACATTATATAGGTCAATCACAAAAGTACGCTGTGATGTCATGTACGGCGTGATAAAATTACCGTTGTTTTTTGAAACAAGTACACCAATAAAAAATAATATGTTTGCCGTGTGTAATCAGCTTACAGATTAAATTGTAAAAATAACGCACATTTATCTGTTTTGTGGAATGACTGACTAACTTTTACGAGCCGTCGAATGGCAGAAGGCGCCGCTTAGTCTGACTACTACCACAATTAGGATCCACAACTATCCATTATCCCACATCGAACATATTATGTACATACATAATATATATGTATATATCGTCTTGTGTTATACTAACGTACTTATGAATAGCGACCGATTATTGCAAAACCCATTCAGTTGCTCGCTGAGGAGACCATTGTTGTTACGAAAGAACCGGGGGTTTCCGGTATTTCCGGAACCGCGATTTCCCGGTGTGAACCCTACTTCATACAAAACCTTCTCAATAATGAATGGAGGCCTGTGCCCAACTTTTTATTTTACGTTAGTTCGTTAAACGATATTACAACTTCACAGACTTGTCCTGCTACTTTTCGTTTACATTCCACTGTCTCCTTTCTCTGAAGAATATAAATTAACAATGGTTCTTATCTACACAAAAATATTCTACAAACTTTATACTAAAAATTCTATGGAAATATAACATGTATGTATGTACATACATGTTTATAATTCCTGCGCGTCACACAGCACTTCGTTGACATTACAACTGACGTCACGTACATTTTACCTTAACTACGACTATTGAAGTATAATGTACTGCAACCGGTTTGCATGATTCATTCAGTCGTTCTCATCACACGGCTGTTGGGTAAACAAAGGCATTGCGTTCATCATACACACAGTTAATATTTCCGCTTGTCGTAACGCATCGTAATTTCACCGATGGTTTATTGCTTTTAATGCTATTTTGCAATTCGTAACTGGACGTCCGCTTCGGCTATATTTGTCGCATTGTGTTTTCAATTTACGTCAGTTTTGCGGATTGATTTCAAATTAACTTTCCATTGGATTGCAAGCTCTTCTCGCGCGCGTTTACTTACATCTGTACGAATGCACACATACTCTGCATTGTTTTGAGTTATTGAACGTTGTTTTGAACGGAGAATCTTTAATGGCTAACTATAAGTTATCGAGAATACTAAATTACTATTTTTAAAGAGTGCGCCATCATCTATTATACTTTTAATAAGTAATATTCTTATTTGTTTCACGTTGTACTTAAATGTCAATTTCTTTATATCCACCATTTCGTTCCAATGCTTAACAAGTTCCCTGTTCGCGATATAGACACAATAGTTAAACAATTGAAATTTTTACATATGATTCATGGGACAGGGAAAGGGTTTAATATATACCTTATAAAGGTGTTACCTCATAAAGGCTGTTACAACTTTTATGCACAAAAAAATAAAATCGTACATATGGCGAACTTAATGTCTTAAGGCATTCTCTTCCAGTCAACCATTAGGCTAAGCAGAGATGAACATATGGGAGGTAGTGCAGCAAAAATAAACTAATAATGAGAAAAGAAGGTAACGAAGTTTGAATAAACCAGATTATATATATATATATATATATAATCTGGTATATATATATATATATATATATATATATAAAATCTGGTATATATATATATATATATATATATATATATAGCCGTAATAGCAAAAGAATGGGACATATAACCAGTACGGTGTAAAGCCGTTAGCAACTTTAGATTATCCGAAGAACGGAGAAAACAACTGTGAGTATCTCCTAGGTACTGAAATTTAGATTTCATGTACTCAGGAGCACAAGGATCGTTCAGGATAGTGAAAAGAGTGCAGAGTATTCTAACATATCTGCGCTGACGGATAGGCAGCTTAAGCTGAGTACGAAAAGATGATACATGATCATATTTACGAAGACCAGAAATGTATTTGATGCTGTTATTGAGGAGACGATCCGATGTGATAAGATGCTTTTGAGATAAGTCTGTGTAACACACATCTACATAGTCTATTATCGGCATAATAGAGATTGAACAGGCAAAACTTTTATAGCGGTAGTAAGAAAAATATTCAGGCGATATAGAGATCGCAATGTTGTAGTAACTTTGCGGCTTACCTCCAGGATCTGCTTGTTTCATGAAAGATATAGCTGTCTTTTTCAACGTAAAGACCGAGATTCCTAACATGTGGAGAGTATGGGATAGCATTTTTGTTGTACGAAATAAACGGCAAAGTAAGTGGAGATATCTAATTTGGATAAGTATATAGAGCTACCTAAAATGATCGCTTGACTTTTAGAAAGATTCACGTTAATCCCAAACACAGAGGACCATTCAAAGATATAATGTAAAACTTCGTTTAGTAACGCTATTGAATTATTAATATTGGATGGGTCCGCTTGTTCATATAGTTGTAATGTGATATGAGTGATAAAAATTGAAAAAAAAAGAGGTGAGAGAATACCGCCTTGAGGGACACCGGTTAATACATCACTCCAATTGGAGACATTATGGCCAGAACGCACGGCCTGTTGGCGCCCTCGAAGATAGAAAATCATCGATCGACAATCGTCGATCTTTCAAAATGTATTCAGAAGAGGACAATAGGGAGCGGAGCGGGTTCTCGAATAATCAAAACAGTTCGATCTACGCTGACTAATCCATTCCACCATCGATCGATGATGCCATTGATCGACGATCGATCGAATGATGTGTTAACACCCTAACCTTTTCAATATTGTGCATTTTTTTGAAAGATTTGCCCATATTTAGAGCGATAACATAGAGAGAGGATATAAGCGATCTGTCTGTTTCAATTATTTTATTTGTCTTGCATTTTGTATGTTAACACTTTTTTAGAAATAGCAAAAATTTAGCAACTTATCAACTATAGACAATTATTATCACATTGGCAAGGTGACATTAAAATAACGTTTAATAAATATTATCTGTAACATACACACATTTTATTGAATGATACTACCTACATTTAGGTACATAAAAATTGCGATATTTTATTTGTCGTTTGAGCTTATGATTCATAAATGATATGAAACATAAGTTAATACTTCAAGGAATAACTTATATTCACATTTAGCAATCTGATTTAACACGAATCATACGATGTTTAATCATTAAATTTATCAGCAAAAACGGATAAGTACTCGTATGTGTTAATTAAAAATAATTACATTAGACAATAGTTTCCTAAATATAAAAATTTCTTATCTAAAAATAACTTGCGAACGGAGAAATTTACCGACAGTATATCTAAAATGTTATATTACAGCTACTAACCACATATATTAACTTCTAAGTAAGTTATTCATTAGAGAGCGGTTTGCGTTTTTTCCCCTTCTTTATCTTTTAGATCCATTGCAGACTAGGTTTTTCTAAAAATGCTTCATGTAACATTTTTTATGGAACAAGGATAAAAACGAGAACCTAGTCCACCATACGAAACACAGGAGCATTAAGTTGCTATTTTACGCCGATATTCTCTTAGTGCGTGGTCCTTCCCCTTCCACGGTCGGGCCAACCTATTCGTGATACAACCAACAATAACTAGAGCGTGGCTCTACCAAATTAGAAAAGTGTAGTTGGAACTTATGGAAAATCGTAGATTCTCTCTTCGTATTCTCTTAAACTCCAGAAGGTTACTGATTTTATTAAAATAATAATATGACTACTATTATAGATCAATATCACAAAATTAACAATGTCGGCACTGTACTAACAATCGCAATATATCGCAGGTGGACTGCCCTTTCATCGTGTGCATGACGTACGCATTCCACACGCCTGACAAGCTATGTTTCATCCTCGATCTGATGAACGGCGGTGACCTGCACTACCACCTCTCACAGCATGGCGTCTTCAACGAAGCAGAAATGAAGTTTTATGCCGCTGAAGTAATTTTAGGTAAGAGTACAAAGTGTATAAATCATAACACACAGCAAACATGTCCCGGATTTTTTTTAATAGGAGAGGGGGTAAACGAGCATGCGGCTCACCTGATGGTAAGTGACTACCGCCGCCCATGGACAACTGCAACACTAGGGGAATCAGGGGAATTGCAGATGCGTTGCCGGCCTTTTAAAAAGGAGTAGGCTCTTTTCTTGAAGGTTTTAGGATAAAAGAGGTGTTACATATAATTTATTTGATGATTGAAAATCTGATAGTGTTTGGATTTTAGATGAAGTTATGGGAAACTGGTACAAAAATTTTATATTTTTAAAGAAATTTGTAAAGAGTCCATTAAAGGGTTTCGTAAGTTATAATCACAAATTAGACAAACTATTAACGAGTACAGTAATAAACGCTTTGCGCCTTAAGTGCCACTGCCCGTTTTATATCTTCTGGCTATTTTTTTTAACTATAAGGGTAATGCTTGACTGCGATCCCACCACCAACCACCACCCACTACCAACTTAGTTAAAGCCGATTAACTCTTCTTTGTATTCGGCACACTTTACTATACGCACTGCTGTTTTTTGGGATCACTGATTTACATTTTTTATTTTTTTGTGATCCATGGACACCTATATTTATATTCAAATAAGAATCAAAATGCATATGCGATGTCATCCCTGAGGATATGGAATGCTTCCTTACCAGTGTAAGGGTCTCCGGTTACTCGACTAGTGAAAGAGCAGTATTATGCTGATATTTGACGCTGGTATTTTGTGCAAGATTTACTAAAGTTTCTTTTACCAAAGCTTGCTTGCGTCTGGCACACAGCTCCAGAATCTGACTAACAGACCTTTGTATGGATTCATTCATGAACAACACAGGTTGCCAAATCCAAAATTGCAAAAGAGCTGTGGTAGCTGTAAATTTCACAGTACGCGAGCAACCCGTGTTCGCTTCCCATCGGCACCAATGAAATTGTTAATATCAGTTTCAAGTGTTGACTCACCACATGCTCGGCGATGAAGGAAGACATCGTCAGGAAACCTGCATGTCTGAGAAATAAGAAAAAAAAATATTTCGACGACATGTGAAGTTCGCCATCACGCATTCGGGCCTCGCGGTGGACATTTTCTTGTCCTAAAACCCTCTCAGAAATTAGAAGAGGCCTATGTCTCCAGCAGTGGGACGTATATAGACTTTAACTTTATTTTGTACAAGTATGGATGGTCCTTCCCTCCTTGGGACGACCTATTCAACAGGGCGTGTCAGGCACAAAATTACGTACATATTCAATTTGTCTTTCAGAATTATAATTGACCAAGGCATGCATAAATTAAAATCCTTAAAGTTAATTAAAAATTTTGTAAATTAATGTTTAGCGTAGAAAAAAATTACGAAGAAAATGACTAAGCAACACACTTCGCCTCACGCTCGATAGCTAGGTATATTCATTCACAAGGTAAACCTGCCGTCCATCTTGTTGTCCAACGTTGGCAAGGGGACGGGGTAAATAAATCGCGTAATTTGGATTTTTTTTTAACGGCCATTACACGGCTTGTCGAGTGGCCAAAATTTTTTTAACAGTTTCCTTAGTCAATTTTTACGATGCCAGTAAGATGATGTAAGCATTTAGATTATATTATTGCACTGGAACTGGATACCGCCCTCGTAACAAACACGTCGTGTGTCGTGTGATTATTGAAAATTTACATTTGTATTATTTTTTCCTTTAACATCATATTTGGAAAAAAACTTTAGTATATCTCTGTTTACTAAACTACTAAATTTTCATTGTAACAAATATAAGTTTAAGTACGTTAATATATAATAATAAAAGAACGATTTTATCAAAATGTGTAATAAACGTATAAAGATTCTATCTCTCTTTCACGTATTTTAGTAGCGATGTTTAGCTGCCTATAACTCATAGCATCTTTTTCCAATTTTCTACTGACTTCTAAATTCGTATTACTATCAGACATCGTATAACATTATTGTGGTCGTAATTCCGCCTTTATATGAATGATTTGCCTCTTCCGTCGTAATGTTTGAACATGATGTTTATTCGATGGGGTTGATGTTTTTAGTTTCACCCTTTCGATGATTCGATAGGGTTGATGCTTTTATAGTTTCGCCTTTCTCAAAACTGAGGATACATTACATAGTTTGTTATTGGCTTGTATAAGACATTCTCGCAACAAATTTTGGAGATGAAAGATATTCAATACAATTTAACAATATTGAAATTACATTTTTCAAACATAGGGACCATAGTTACTTTGCTAAGAGTAGCCTTGAATGTCTCAAGACCACAACCGCTACCACCACTAAACCCGACAGAAATTAACTTTGTACTTCAGCAAAGTGACATATAATTCTACTGCAAACCGGTTCACCGCAAGAAGTAACCCGCTCACGCTGGTTCTTACTTTTTGGAATGTATCTCACCGACCGTCTTTCTTTATTATTGAGATTTTTCCGAACCTCAACTTTAGGCGGTTCATTGCGACCCGTGCCACAACAGCCGCAAGGAAACTAGGTGCAAGGTGCGGCGGTACTTACCTATGTACGTTTTCTAACCCATTATAAAACTCAAATCCGGTCTTGCATGGAATACTGCTGTCACATATGGGTTGGTGCTACAAACCACTTTAGTGTAAGTAATTGGTGACCTTGATTTGGTTAAAACCAATCTTATCAGTCTCGAGCACAGACGCAAAGTAGCCAGCTTCTTGGTATTAGGTATATAGGATGCATTTCGAAGAGTGTGCGCAAGATTTAGGTGCCTTAATTTTGTAGTTGATTGCGATGTGCAAATTACGAGTAAAAGGCATTAAATTATGCTTTTTATTAAATAGTATTACACAAAAACTAAAAAATTAACTGCTATGCTACTGACTTTAAATAGGTTCTCTTTTTTGTATCTAAGGTTTTTAAAATTGTATGAGCTTCCATGAACCACTTTTAATAATTAAACTTATTTTTCGAAATATCTAGTTTCGAATAAACTTACATACAGTTCATACTTAGATATTACTTTCGATAAAGTTTATACAAACACTGTTACATTTAAACTTTAAAAATATCAGGAGATAAGCTGCACAATGAAATTCAACGTTAGACATGTCTCTCTCCACACGCACATTTTCTAAATTCTGTAAAATTGTTCTACAGCCCTATTGCAGTATACAGCGCTTGCTAAATCTGCGTATAAAATACGTAAATTTTGTTTTACGTCAAAGAAGCTCCTCCCGCGACGTTATTCTCGTTAACTGTAGAATTTATGTAAATCCAGATCCTTTGAGACATTGCGATGAAACATAGACTAGGTTTTTCTCAAAGATCTTTGACGTTGTGCAAATACCGCTTTAGTTCTTTTTAAGTTGAATTTGGTCAGACTGTTTGAGAAAAATGAACAATTTATGGAAATGTAGCAAGTGCTGTTTAAGATATTAGAGACTCTAAAGTTACTATAACTTTTATACCTTTTTAGTCCAATTCAATTGAGCCTGCAAATAAAAAACGGCATAATATACGACTTATTAGGTATAGGAGTAAGATTAATTCAAGATTCTAAGCTTCTGTTTGATAAAAACATCGATTACGCAGTAATAATGGCCTCCAAATCTCTCGGTTTTATCATAAGATCAACTAAGGACTTTAAATCTACCCTTTAACTGTGCGTAGTATACTTTGAATCCGCAATATAGTGTGTATATTTTTCTCGCATTGAATCCATACAAAAAACGTTTCTACGAGGGGCACACTGAAATGATCAGGAATAAGAAAAACCACATGCACGGTATAGCTAAATTGTGTTTTATTTATTTTTCGAAGTATTCTCTGTTCAACTTAATGCACTTTTCCATTCGTGCAAACCAATCATTAATACAGTAATTCCAGTCTGAAGTTGATGTTGACAAGATGGCTGATTTGTACGCTTTCACAACTGCTTCGGGGTCTTCAAACCGTTGACCGCGTAATAAATCTTTCATTCTAGGGAATGTAAAGAAACTGTTTGGGCCCAGGTCAGGACTGTACGGAGGATAGCTCATCAGGTCAACGTTTTCCTGCTTCAAAAAATCATTTGTATTCCGGGCCGTATGGGAGCTCGCATTATCGTGATGTAAGATGATGCGACGTTTCGGGTTATATTTTCGGAGTTCACTTATAATTTCTGGCAAACAAACCGTGATATACCACTCAGCGGTAACCGTTCTGCGTTCCTGTAAAGGAATTGTAGCAACATGCCCCTTTTTCGAGACAAACGCAGCGACCATTTTCTTTGACACGCTGCGGGAGTGAACCACTTTCGTTGGTTTGACCTCGTCTTCGAAGACCCAAACAGCTGACTGATGTTTTCTTTCAGGTCACTTGAGACGATATTATAAACGGCATTTGACTTCCCTCCGTTGAAGCTTTGCAGAGTCCGGCACCAATCTACACGAGCCGCCTTTTGCTCTTCGGACAAATTGTGGGGAACCCAGCGGGAAACTAGCTTTCTTACACACAGCTCATTATGTAATATCGACTGAATTGCAGTCACAGTAGCCCGAATCTGCTCGTATGTCACATGACGGTCATCTAATATAATAGTTCGCACAGCTGCGATGTTTTCAGGCGTGACCGCTGTTCTTGGTCGATCTGCAGAAGAAACAGTGCTGAGCGACACACGACCGCGTCGGAACTCGGCATACCAGCGGTTTATTGTCGTTTGACTCGGTGCTTCAACATCATAGATCGAAACAAGTTCGCTGAGACATTTATCTTGAGATAAGCCGCGACGAAAATTGTGATAAATTATGGCACGGAAATGTTCACGCGTGAGCTCCATTTCTGTTGCATGTCAACGACGTGTCAACTTTAACCAGCGTTAATTAACAACCAATATAGGTTTTGTTTTTAAATTTTTTTTTAATTTTTGAATGTCATTAAGATTCTAAGAGGTACTGGCCTCTTTCAAATTCTAAAAAAGGTTTTGTTGTAACTCAATCCGAAATATTCTATTCCCGATCATTTCAGTGTGTCCCTCCTTAGGATATTGACAGTTTAAATGCAAGCGAGTAAATCATGAATACGAGTCGAAGTATAGAAGATATCACTTTTACAAAACATTCGCCGACCGTTATGACGTCACAGCTGACGGTACCGTAGACAAAACTATTATTGTGTTTTAATTATTGTACGAAGTTCGATTTTTACTTTGTTGTCCTGTATAGAGAAATGGAGGGCAAGCAAGTAGATAAAATGCATATTATTGAATAATTTATTTAGTTAGTAAAGTAAAATAAGAACACTGAATAGAAACGTGTCCGATAAAATAAAATAATATATCATAGTTTTATTCTAAATAAATTATTTACGAAGGCGCGAAAAAACTGGTAGGTAGTTATTTGTAATCCATAACTTACATACCAGTTATTTTATCAAAATCGTTCGTCCCTGTATCACATTAACGAACGTAAAAAGTCAACCGAAACAAAAAATCAACAGTAACAAAAACAATAACAAAAACAGTAACAAACAAGAGATCGCACGGGAGCACAAACAACGGATGTAGATACATTTCAGCGTTGCTATCGGTACTATATGGGCGACGCTTGAGGTGCGGTATGAGGGAGCGCGGCGGGAGGTAACGGCATTCATGAAATGAACACGTAGTACAAAATTGTTAGTGGTCCCATCGACTGCCCTTCCTTATTGGAGCAAGTTAACATCTAACACCATCGCAAATTACCTATAAGACGTACTCAACCTCTAGCAATACCAAGAGCTAACTAATTATCATCTTAATTCTATCCGCGCAAGTAACTTTTTCAACAATCTCTCATTAGGTAACAGCAACTTGGTATTATTTTGGACTAAACCTTCAAATACCAACAAGCTTCGTTTGCCTCAGAGTTTTTTTAGCCCTAACTCTATGCGTGCCACATGTGGTTCACCCGCCCCCCCCCCCTTTTTTTGCATTATTTAATTGATCGAATTTATTTTGAGGTAAAGCTTGTGTAGTCTTCTATATACATTTTAATTTCCATATTCAAATACCTTCTAGTTATGTAGATTTTCAATTTTGAATTAAGTGTAATGCAAAAACATATAAATTATATAAAAAACACGTTTTCATTTTAACGTGATAGAGCCATGCCGCAGCTATATTAGTAGTATAGTTGTGGCACGAATGGGTCGGCTCGACCGGGGAAGGACCACGCTCTCACAGAATACCTAGATAAAGTAAAAAAAAATTCTAGATATGTACTATTAATATTCTAAAAAGTATTCTAGATATGTACTATTAATATTTATTTTACATCTTTTCAAAATATTCTCCATCATGCTCTAGTTCCATTCGCCTAAACCAACTCTGAAAATACTTTTGCCAGTCTTGATCTGACAGATCGGAAATCGCTTCTTCGTAGGCTGCCACGGCTTCTTCGGCGCTTGAAAAAAACTTGCCTTTTATTTTTTCTTTGACTCTTGGGAACAAAAAGAAATCACAAGGAGCTAAGTCAGCGCTGTAGGGTGGGTGATTTAGAGTTTCTTCAACACCAGATTCCTCAATAAATGCTTTTGTTCTAAGGGAGGTATGTGAAGAGGCGTTATCGTAATGAAGCATGATTCCCCGAAGCCCGGTCTTTGGTCTTCTCTCCTGCACAGCTTGAAAAGCTTTGGGTAATGCAACTGTAGTATACCATTCAGAGTTGACTGACGTCAACAAATGTCCGCTCCGCGAAAAAAAAACTAGCCACCATTTTTTTTCGACGTTGTGAGGTCTTTGCAGTTTCGTCGGTAACTGTCCTTCTGAGTAGACCCATACCGATGATTGCCTTTTATTTTCCGGATCATAATGTAAGATCCATGTCTCGTCACCAGTAACGATTTCTGAAACACGCCTAGATGCCCCGTTTTCAAAACGTAGACGCAATTCATGGCACCAATCCACACGTCTGTTTTTCGCTTTCGGAGAGCAAACGAGGGATCCATCGACAACATAGCTTCCTTACTCCAAGATGTTGATGTAGGATGGTACGAATGCTCCCCGAACTAATGCCTACAACCTTGTCGATGTCCATATATGTGATTCGTGGGTCTTCTCGCACCAACATTTCAGTAGTCCATACATTTTCTGCCGTTACTGCTGTTTACGGGGCCCGGTTCATTTGTCATCTTTAAGATTAATTTTACCCCTTTTGAATTCAGCAAACCACCTCAAAATTTTTGCGCGTGATGGAGCTGAGTCCCCTAATGCTGATAGTAACCGTTGTAAACTTACTTGTTCGGTTAAACCAAATTTAAAATCATAACATAACATAGCGCGCAAATGTTCGCGGTTAAGATCCATCGTTTTAAATTAAAAGCGCGGGAAGCGTTGCAGGAAAATTAATAGAACTTTGTGTTTTTTTAATATTGAGCAATTGGCTTATGAAGTTCTATTTTTAAATAAATTTGTTTACAACGGTTACACCGTTGTAAACTTACTTGTTCGGTTAAACCAAATTTAAAAACATAACATAACATGTTCGCGGTTAAGATCCATCGTTTTAAATGAAAAGCGCGGAAGCGTTGCAGGAAAATTAATAGAACTTTGTGTTTTTTTGTAATATTGAGCAATTGGCTTATGGAGTTCTATTTTTAAATAAATTTGCTTTTTAGAAACATATAACACGGGTGCGTTCCATTTTAATGCCAAATAATCTCAAAACTTATTGAGTGACCTACGTATCCTATTAAAAAAATGCACCAAAGCTGTTAGTGTTCCAAATAAAATAAAATAGAATAAAATAAAGAACCAGTAAATCCAATACTGCATGCCTTAAGCGCATTAAAAAAATTACGTAAACATGATTATACCTAAATGTTTTAAAGTAGTTTAAATACACACAAGTTTTCATTAATAACCTTATTACTATACTTCCAATTTTCTGATAATTTTATGTCAAATTTCAATTAAAAAGTTGGGATTCCATAATTAAAAAAATTAAATCCCAACCCAAGCATACAACTGCAAGATTTAGATACTGTAAGTTCATACTGCGTAGATCGGAACAAAAATTAATAATTTTTAATCTGGAGGTAGCCGTGGTTAACTATAACATTGGGACGTCATACACCTCAATCCCCCTCGTGACCATGGGTGCTGTAAAGTGCTTGAAACGTCGGTATTATAAAATAAGTTAATATACGCATAAAATCCGTAAAGTTAGTTTTATTTAAATGTGTAGTGTTCGCGTAAATATAAGAAATCGTTAAACAAAATATTGTAATAAAAATCTGTGATTATAAAAGTAATAATATCTTACTTACCTAACAAAAGTTTTAATGAGACTGAACAAGCCGCAGATTAGGATAGTAACAAGTGCTATCACAGGACACGGCACCTTTAACAAACATTTATTTACTATAGGTGTTACAGATAGTCCCCTGTGCAGGGCATGTATGGGGGAGGAAGAAACGGCGGCCCACGTGCTACTGAAATGTCCGGAGGTCGCTACATACAGGGCTAAACATCTCGGCACGCCGGGATCACTCCCCGAAGTTGCATGCAACATCAAGGGCCTGTTGAGCTTCTTCGGAGAGATCTCATGGCTCGAACAATCACATTATTCCTGCCCACACGCAAAATACGCGCATAGACGTGGAGTTGCGGAAAACAGCCCGTCGTAAACTAAACTAAACTAAACTATCTTACTTACCTATGAATCTCATCGACGACCTGTTTTATTAAAAATTGTAACTCATATTATACCAACTCGGCATGTAGCTTATGCGACCAAAAATTCCAAATTGTATTTTGAATATAAATGTATATAAAATTGTATCTTCTTACAGAAAAAATTGTGCACACAGTGCCACTCGATATAGTCCCTGCTTTTGATACTATAAAAGTTATACAATTTTTGTAACTGTTTAGATAGTTAGTATCATTACTTTTAAACAAAGTTAATTTGTTACGAAGAACAAATTAACAATAATCCAATACGGCAATGGTGTTTAGTTGTAGTCCCAGTACAGTAATGCACGGAGCATTAGGGGGAGGAAGGGTGGTGAACTTCAAATGATTTTATTCTTAGAAAATTAATGTTATTTCCGATTTTAAATATAGTGGATTTCAGTAAAGGAACGCCCAGTCTCTAAAATGTTCTTTCACTAGTGGCCAGACCACTTGATTGAATAATTGCCGATCATTAATTTTAACACTGTCTTGTAATCAACAACAAACTTCCGTTAGTACACATAAGTAAATATGAGTTTTTTAATAAAACCCATGAAGCATAACAAATTCAATATAATAAAAGTAAATCTCTATTATGAGGTTTATAATAGATAGTTGACTGGAGAATATCCTGCTGGTCTATTTAAAGAGTTTAGACTTTGATGTAAGAGGCATGACAGACAGCGCAGAAAGCCGGCGCTCATTCTAAATTTCATAGAACAAGTACTCGAATTTCATTGTCGCTGGTCTTATACAAAATATTCATTTTTTTCGTGAACAATCCGATATAAATATTTCTTATGTATGCATTGAAAAACTTCTCCATTTGTTATCCTCATCACCAAAGTACGGCTATGCGTAACTGCATAGTCATCTCTTAAGGCGCTGTACCTAGAATCATCCTAAGACGTGCTAAGTAGTTGGTTGTCGCCAGACGTAACATATTCAGATCGATGTTGGCGAGCAGCGTCAAACTGGCGAAACGTCAGGCACTGCGATCGCCAATTCACCTGCCAAGCGTGGCTATTAAGACTTCACTACAATATGAGTGGGCCATGTCCAGCCGTGGTCTTGGCCCACTTATATTGTAGTGAGGGGTCTAGGGTCTGATGGAGAAGTCAGAGAAATAGGCACGCCCCTTCATTTTCCTAACCCAAAAATCAGTATATAAAAACAGTAATTACTTTCATTAATTCACAGGATTGGAACACATGCACAAACGCCACATAGTATACAGGGATTTGAAACCAGCGAATATATTACTGGACGAACATGGACACGTGCGAATATCGGACTTAGGACTTGCATGCGACTTCTCAAAGAAGAAACCACACGCTAGTGTGTAAGTCATCAATTTGAATTTTTAATATATTTATTTTTTATAAAACTGACGAGACAAATGAATGAGTACCACCTGATAGCAAGTGGCTACGACAGGTCATGGAGACCTGCAGCCAACTTCAAGCAAAGAAGTATCAAATACAGATATGTTGTCACCTCTGGGAACTAAGATGGAATGCTTTACAGTCTGTTAGTATTCTGGCTCTCTACCATACTAGAATACAGCAGTGAATGCACTGCTATTTATCGGTAAGTAAGTAAGTGAGCGGTACCTACCCAGACGGATTCCTAGGCAAAAAAGAATCCCAACACCTAATTCATCACTTAGTGTAGTAGTAGTAAATATCGTGCAATTTGTTAGAGTTCATCTTTTCAACTTCTTTTTAATAGAATAAGGCTGACAAATGAGCATACAGGCCACCTGATAAGTGACAGTAAGTGGATGCTGTGGCCCATAGACATTTACATTTATCCTCAATTAGAAATCAAAATGCAGATTCGTTGTCACCCACAGTCGTCACGCTTAGCAAAGGGTTAAACAAACGCCGTTTATTATTTTCAGTTGCCATCAGGAAGATGCCCCTGCCCATCTTTTGCCTCAGTTTCCCTTTCTCGAATCTTACAGCACCCACAGGATGCTATGGGATACTGGACATTCTTACGCCACCACTAGGCAGCCACTGGGAGCCCATGGGTTAAACTAATTCTTTATTTATTCTTTGTATCCTTAACAGGGGTACACACGGCTACATGGCGCCCGAAGTACTCTCGAAAGGCACAGGTTACGACTCCTCAGCGGACTGGTTCAGTTTCGGCTGTATGCTATACAAGTTGTTGAAGGGGCATTCGCCCTTCCGCCAACACAAGACCAAGGACAAGCATGAGATCGACAGAATGACGTTAACAATGGTAAATATCAACATTCTTGCTTTCTCACTCTGTTATCAGTTGCCTTTTCGCTCTTTCATAACTTTTTACTCCTTGCAAAATAACTTCTTATCAATCTTAACAATAAAACTAGCTGTTTTATTGCCGGAATTAAACAGATATCAGCTTTCACCGATAATTTCAAATCTTTTATTACTTTTGAAACGTAAAACAAAATATGTGGATAGAAAAGCTGAGCATTGATTGGCTTATTAAGCATTTTGAAATTTAAATAAAAAAATGCGTTTTGATGTCGCTTTGTAATAGAAGGAAAACATTTCCTGAATTCACTAGTTGGTAGGACTCCTTTTCTATCTAGAAGTTTCTCTGGACAGGTACCACCCTCTTACTTACTTCTGCCGTACTACTCTACTACTTGGCCAATGCCAATATTTCCTTTCACAAAATATTGCTTTTTTATCAATCTTTAAGGATGCACAAGTGTTTAAGACTTCTTGCTAATGCTTGTTCCTCTTAATATTTTTATAATAATACCGATTAATAAGAGTTTTTTTTGTCATGTTAGCATAGATATACTGTATCTTAGTGTTAGTGTCTACACTTTATACCTATATTATTGGGTCGCAATTTTATACTATTCACAATTTCCGTTGATGAAGTATAACATTATGAGAATATACAGTTCTCTTATTAAATTATATCTTAATAAACGAATACGAAACAACTCGCCGTGAAATGTCGCCATGAAAATAATTCATCACTCGCTTTGCGGTTGTCGTAAAAGGAGAGTTAGGTAATAGCTGGCAAACATCTTTTGGTCTGAAATATATGGAGACATAACCATCTAGTATATACAGGGTTATTTTTCGGAGTAGCCAAATTTTAAATTTAAGTTCAAATATATAAATATTAACATACCGTTATCACAGTTTTTGAAAGTACCAGTAAATAAGGCTTCTACTTTTATTTGAAATTATCTCAAATTGAATATGATTTATGGGCAATAATGTTTTTCCCTACTGGTCGACCATGCTTTTTGAATTTAAAAGATAAAAAGGACTGAATGTTTAAAAATTTTTTATTAAATTTTTCTTCATCCCACATTTCTTATTATACCTATTATACCTTATCTGCAAATTTGGTCGGTTTTTCCAAATTAAGTCTGTAAAATTCTTATCTGACTACCTCATTATAAACGCGACTGCTGATCATGTAGTTCTGGGTTCAAATCCCTTGACAGGTCAAAATCAGATATTTGATTTTTTGTCAACAGGGAAGCACCTAAAGCCGTAGATCCTGCGCCTGATCTCTTTCCGGTAGTATCGGATAGCCGTCACATTGGACTATGAGAATAAGGGAACGGAGTGCATCCGTGTTTGCGCACACATTCGTGCACTATAATTCTGCCATACGCAGACGGCTAGTCTCCGATTATTAGTAGAGAATGGCCGCCGTGATTGAAATGCGGTCTAGATATTATTATTAATAATACCTCATAATTTGCTGGACATGGGCCTCTCTTGCCGTTGGAATAATTTGCCGTTATCGCTGCACTTGGCAGGCTGTTTGGCGACCGCATGTTTCGCGTTTAACGCTGTTTCCGTCGTCGGTAGTTTTCATCCGGAATTTTCAAGATAATTATACCGCCACTTGTCGTAGGTCTTAAGGTCTTTTCAATTCTTAAAATAACCATTGGTAGAAATGGGCCGAATGTATCTATTACGCTCCTGGCAAACGACACCTCTTATATACTTTAAATGTAATTTAGTACTCAGAAAGGTGACGGAAAGCAGTGTCTCTAAAGTGTGTCACATCTGGTACTGTAATCGGCCATACGCCTGGTGAGAGAGTGGTTCTCCCCTGTTAAAACCGATATATGCACTACACATACATGGTTCTAAGATAACAATTTCTTTCATTCATACAAATAATATGATCTTAGCATTATATAAAATTTTCCTAGCTATTAATAGGTATAGAATAAGATGTTGATTGTAAAGATGGAATTATTTCTGCAATAGAATTACAATATGTTTCAGAACGTGGAGCTGCCGGAGTCGTTCAGCCCGAGTCTGAAGAGTCTGCTGGAGGGACTGCTGCAGCGTGACGTCAACAAACGACTCGGCTGCAAGGGCAGGGGGTGAGTGACTCACGAACTACCCGCAAATCTATAAACGTTACCGTTGCAGCTTATTAAAGTCCACTGAACACAGGACAGATATTTGCGATAGTTGCACGCGCAAACTATATCGTCCACTACCGTAAAATATCCACCACCCCATATCATCCCGTGGGTGTCGTAAGAAGCGACAGACGGAAACAAACCAGGAGATGGACAGCAACGTCTTCCTAATAAAGCCTAAGAATTAAAAAAAACTCCCGTTGCCAATCCGCTTGCCCAATCTATAACAATCCTATAAAATTATCCTTATTGCTTATTTTCACCGTTTGCGTGTTTATCATTCAACTACCTATTTAGCATAGAGTGGGTGTCTTAAGAGGCGATAGAGAAAAACAAACCAGGAGATAGGCAGCACAACAACAAAAAATTTAAAACTGCACCTGCGTTACAACTATGGCAAATTTCATCCTTATGAGGAAATGTAGTTTTGGCGGGAACTTGACCGGCGACGGATTGCTGCTCCTGTATTATTGTCTAAATAATGCTTTGAAGTGGATTTTGATATGTAAAATTGGTGCGATTTTGTGTATTAAATGTCTACGCATGTGAACTATTAGTGGAAACGGTGAAACAAGTGCTATGATGGTGATGTGATTCTCAAGATAAGGTGACTGTCTGCTTAGGCGCCTTGAGATACCATCGCCAACTGTCAGCTGTCTGCTGGCTCAAGTTGCCGTCAAAATCTCCCAAGGGCTGCACAATGTGACGCATCAACATATTGTGAAGTAGTGTACTATGAAGAATAATTATACATTGTAACTTCAGGCACAGAAGGGCTAGAACCCAGAGCCGTAAAGCCAATTACTAAAAAGAAGTTATGAGGCAATCTATGGGAAAACCTACATTCATTAGTGAACTTTAATAGGCTATAATGAATGAAAGACTATTATATATTGTTCTATCTTATCTATTATTATCCATTTACAGTGCAGACGAGTTGAAAGAGCACGTTTTCTTTGCGGGCATTGATTGGCAACAAGTGTACCATCAGAAATACACTCCGCCGTTAATACCGCCGCGTGGAGAAGTCAACGCTGCAGACGCCTTCGATATAGGCAGCTTTGATGAGGAAGATACGAAGGGTATAAAGGTAACAAATACATTCGTAAGCTATATTCTTACTCATACATCGCGAATTAGGCAGCCGTGTTAGCTCAGATAGTTAGCACTCGCTGTAAATTTCACCTTACGCGAGCAACCCAGATTCGATCCCCGCCGGCACCAATGAAATTGATAATTGAAATTTTAAGTGCTGATTTATCACGTTTATGCGGGGAAGGAAAACATCGTGAGGAAACCTGCATGTCTGAGAAAATAAAAAAATATATTTCCAAGACATGTGAAGCTCGGCAACACGCACTAAGGCAGCACGCCGGACATTTTCTTGTTCTTAAACCTTCTCAGAAATGAGACGAGGCCTGTGACATATATAGACTGTACCTTTATACACCGCGAATTATCACGTTTGATTGGCCGTAGTTTCGTGCCCCAATCGTAGTTTAGATTTATGTACAATTTTGCATGCCGAGCGCAAAGCGCATAGGTATGTTCTACTAGCGCCTAAAAATCAAGATTCCAACGTTTTGTTGCATGCAATCGTATCCAGCAATCATATTATACATATAAATGATATAAAAAGCACATTGTCAGAAAGATAAATGATTGTTGAACTTATTTTTTTTTAAATTGATTAATTGCTATTTTTACATAAAAAATGGGTTTTAGTGACTTATGGTGTGGATTTATCAAGTCCTCAAGGCTTGTAAACATGTTAACTTTTGAAAATATCAATTGTTTAACTCAATCTATTTTTTAATCTCTTCATATATCATGTGGGAAGCCACTGAATATAAATGGCAGTGAAATTTTGTTTTGTTTAGCTATAATTAATTTTTTTCGGCTACAAAATGGCGAAATTTTCGGTGTTTTCGCAGCTTTGTGTTAGAATTTATTTCAGTAAATAGAGACTGCCTGTGCCTGTGTCGCTTAGTTCGGCGTCAACCGCCGTTGTGAGTGGATACTATATTGGTTGTTTACAGCGGCTCAAAAAGATCGCTGTACAAATAAATACAAAATATTCGATAAACAAATTTCATATATACTTGATTATTATAATAATCAGAGATTTTTATTACAATATTTTAAAAGCACAGAATAAATAATAGCAGTACGTATTAAAAGTATGTAGGATGTAATATTTATACTTGAATACGTCTTGGACTTTTTGGAGTGACATGAATGATGATATGATCATCATATGAGCATTATGAGTCGTGCACTTTGTATTTTCCAAACTTTTTCAAATTGAAGTTTGACATTATTATTTAACGGTGGTAGAGCCCTGCAGCAGTTTTTTGCTGTTGCACGTATGGGCCGGCTCGAGCCGGGTTGGTACCACGACCTCACAGAATACCGGCGTGAAGTAGAGGCTCTGCTTCTGCGTTTCGTCTGGTGAGTGCAGGTGGCCGGAGGCCCAATTCCCCCCCCCCCCCCCCCATCAACATGGTAGCGGAATTAGACAATAGACTACCCCAGGAGGGTACCAGTACCCCTGGAGAATCCCTCGCTGAGCATCCACGACCATGTTATTCCAATCCTGAGCGTGGGTGCTCAGGCTGCCCCGCGTATTCTGGGGGGGGCAAAATTCCGCTCAAAAACAAAACTGCTCGGGGCAAGCTGAGCAACAATACCAAGGCGACCCCTGCCACGCTATCCGTGAATTTCTGCAACATCAGGGGACTTCACTCTAACCTAAACGCCGTCCACTACCATCTCGAGACGGCGAAGCCGGCCTTGCTCTTTTTGACCGAGACGCAGGTTTCCTCTCCGACTGATATTTCGTATCTCTCCTGCCCGGGGTACAAATTGGAGCACTCCTTTGTGCCTCGGGCTGGAGTTTGCGTGTATGTTAGAGAGGACATCTGTTCTCGACGCCTCGGCAGTCTTGAAGGTTCGGACCTGTCCATCCTTTGGCTACGCGTAGACAGCGACGACCATCCGCGCGTCTACGGGTGCCTCTATAGGTCCCATAGCGGTAATGCCGAAACAGACCGACTCATCGACCACGTCCAAATGGCTACAGATTCCTTGCTACAACAGGTCCCATCCGCAGAGATCGTGATCCTTGGCGATTTTAACGCCCACCATGCCGAATGGCTCGGTTCACGTTTAACCGATCATGCGGGGAGATCTGTTTATGACTTTGCCTTGGCATATGGTCTGACACAACTGGTTACTTCGCCTACGCGGATTCCAGATGTGGAGGATCATACACCTTCCCTGTTGGACCTTCTGCTGACCTCTCATCCGGACGGATATCAGGTTTCCGTCGATGCCCCTCTCGGCTCTTCGGACCATTGTCTGATCCGGAGTATGGTGCCACTCATGCTCCCTTCGCGGTTGCGTTCTGCAGGTTGCCGCCGTGTTTGGCATTACAGGTCGGCGGATTGGGACGGAATGCGGTCTTTCTTTGCATCCTACCCATGGGGGCGGGTTTGCTTCTCGCCGGATGATCCCAGTGCTGTTGCTGACTCTGTCACTGATGTGGTGCTACAGGGAATGGAACTATTTATTCCATCATTTGTGGTACCCATCGGAGGCAGAACTCAGCCTTGGTTTGGTCGCTCCTGTAAGACTGCATTGCGCAGTAAGCAGGAGTGTTATCAAGCCTGGGCTGCGGCTTCGGTGACTCGGGATGTAAACACCAGCACACTTAAAAAGAAGTATAACTTCGCCTCCAGGTCCTTCAAAAGAGTTATTGCCAAGGCAAAGTCAGAGCACATAGGCAGAATTGGCGAGAAACTTGTTCGCCTTCCTTCGGGAACCCGTGCATTCTGGTCTCTCGCCAAGGCTGTCCAAGGGAATTTCTGTAAGCCATCACTACCATCTCTGCACAGGGAGGACGACTCACTGGCCCAAGACGCAAAAGACAAAGCCGACCTTTTAGGCTCCCTTTTTGCGTCCAACTCGACTCTTGATGACGGGGGGAAAATACCGCCGACCATCCCGCGGTGTGAGTGCTCCATGCCGGATGTGCTATTCTCACAGCGCTCAGTTCGCAAAGCACTTCTCTCCCTGGACATCCAGAAGTCGAGTGGGCCTGACGGAATCCCCCCAATTGTGCTGAGGACGTGTGCTCCGGAGTTGGCACCGGTCCTAACGCGTCTTTTCCGGTACTCCTACTCCCAAGGCGTAGTCCCGAATTCATGGAAGACAGCTTTTGTCCACCCGATCCCTAAAAAAGGCGACCGCTCAGACCCGTCCAACTATAGGCCTATCGCGATCGCCTCCTTGTTCTCCAAAATAATGGAATCCATTATTAACTGCCAGCTCATCCGGTACCTTGAGGATCACCAGCTGATTAGTGACCGCCAATACGGTTTTCGTCGGGGTCGATCAGCTGGTGATCTTCTGGTCTACCTGACCCATAGATGGGCGAAGGCAGTAGAGTCCAAGGGGGAGGCGTTGGCCGTTAGTCTGGACATTGCGAAGGCCTTTGATCGGGTTTGGCACAAAGCGCTTCTTTCGAAGCTGCCTTCCTATGGGCTTCCCGAGAAATTGTGCAATTGGATCACCAGCTTTCTTGCAGATCGGAGCATCAAGGTCGTTGTAGACGGTGCATGTTCTGACTACAAGCCTATTAACGCTGGTGTTCCACAAGGCTGTGTGCTATCACCAACGCTGTTTCTTCTGCATATCAATGATATGTTGCTAACTGGTAACATTCATTGCTATGCGGATGACAGCACTGGTGATGCTCTATACACCGGCCGGGCCAATATTTCTCGGGAAAACGTCGCCGAGTACCGGAACAAACTTGTGTCTGAAGTCGAGTCTTTGCTGGACAAAGTCTTGGATTGGGGGCGACTAAATCTAGTCCAGTTTAATCCTCAGAAGACACAAGTTTGCGCGTTTACCGCTAAAAAGAACCCCTTTGTCGTATCTCCTCAGTTTCAAGGCACTCCCCTTCTTGCCTCAGCCAGTATCGGTATCCTCGGAGTCGACATATCGAGTGACGTGCAGTTTCGTGGTCACTTGGAAGAGAAGGCCAAATTGGCCTCTAAAAAGCTTGGCGTGCTCAGCAGAGCGGGACAGTATTTCATGCCGGCACACCGCCTGCAACTTTACAAGGCGCAGGTTCGGCCTCACATGGAATACTGTTCCCATCTCTGGGCAGGGGCTCCCCAGTGCCAGCTCCTTCCACTTGACCGCATCCAGCGCAGAGCGGCTCGAATCGTCGACGACCGAGCCCTTTCCGATCGGCTCGATTCATTGGCACTGCGAAGAGATGTTGCATCTCTTTGCATTTTCTTTCGCATCTACCATGGGGAGTGCTCTGAGGAATTGTTCGGATTAATCCCAGCCGCCAAATTTCACGAACGCACATCGCGGCAGAACTCCCGATACCATCCACACCATCTGGATGATTGGCGGTCCACCACTGTGCGATTTAGAAGATGTTTTCTTCCTCGCACAACTTCCTTGTGGAATAGTTTACCACCAGGGATTTTTCCGGACCGATACGACTTAGGGACCTTCAAGAAAAGAGCCTACTCCTTTTTAAAAGGCCGGCAACGCATCTGCAATTCCCCTGGTGTTGCGGTTGTTCATGGGCGGCGGTAGTCACTTACCATCAGGTGAGCCGCATGCTCGTTTGCCCCCTCTCCTATAAAAAAAAAAAAAAAAAAAAAAAACATAAAATTATCGAAAAATTGGAAGTATAATAAGGTTATTAGTGAAAACTTGTGTGTAATTAAACTACTTTAAAAAAATTCCGTATATTCATGCTATACCTAATTTATTTAATGCGAAGGCACGCTCAATTGGATTTACCAATAGTTTTTGTTAATCTATGTTTGCTTTATAAATAAATATAAATAACAACAATTTTTTTTTCATTTACCTACTTCAAAAAGGAGGAGGTACTTAATTCGACTGTATTTATTTAGCTTTCAAATAAAAATCGATAAAGAATCATCAAAATCGGTTCACCTAGAAAAAAGTTCTGAAGTAACCATCGAATACTAATAAAAAACTAGATACACAATCAGTGACAAAAAGTGGCATAACCCAATGTGCACCCACTCGAACATTTGGGTGCACTTTTAATCTAGTAGCATTCGAATGCTCCGACGGTAAACATGCCTCAGTGCTCGTTTATAAGTGTAAAAATCACACATCCAGGACGCTAAAAAAGGATGGAATTTCATATTTTCGGTAAATATTAATATTAACATTATTTATAGTGCCACCAACTTATCTGTTCAGTTGACAGAGTCGCTAGTGGAGTGCTTACTATTGCCATTTAAGAAATTTACCGAGGAAATAGGTGACTACATATTCATTACACATAATATAAAATAAAACAAATTTCGTGTTAATGTATATATATATATATATATATATATATATATATAATTTATATTTTATAAAAATAATTGTGGTCGTGGTCTCGGAGTTCAAGCGGTCGAACTCCAGGAATTCCTGTTTTGAAAGATGTACCCGCGTTAGATACTGGTTCCAATAATTCATCTTCTGAGTCACTGGAATCGGTTTCGCTATCGCTCTGACACTCTATAATAAAGGGTTCATCTAAATACGCGTCTTTTAGTCTGTATTCATTTTCAATTTTTTTCACATGATTGCATATGTTTTTCCACTGCACCGGTGTAATTTTATTAAATGCATCTTCAATTAATTGGGGCATTAGAACATTAGATTTTCCAACATTTTTGTCTGCTATGTTCCTTTTCATAGAGCTCCATATCATTTCAATTGCATTCAAGTCGCAATGATAAGGCGGCAATCTAAGAATAGCATGGCCATGACTTTTCATCAGGTTATCAATTTCGTATTCCGGAGCAGGTTTATTTCTCTTTATTAATTCATAAAGCTGAGGTTTTGTCATTTGTTCATTGAAACTTACATTGTTTTTTTCAAGCCACTTCTGCATATCAGCCTTACTGTGGTTTGAATTAGGACACCTATTTACGCAAATACTATGGTATGGCGCATTATCCATTACAATGAGCGAAGGTTCATGCAGATTAGGTAGTAATTTTTCATATACCCATTTTTTGAAATTAATGCTATTCATTTCATCATGGTAGTCCCCATATTTTGTATTTGATTTAAATACGAGAAGGGCATTCTCCACAAAACCTTTTTCTCCACCTGCATGGATTATGATCCACCTATTACCTTTCGAAACAGGTTCCAAATCACCATCTTCTTCAGGACCTTGCCAACATTTCCCAGTTGAGTGAGACGAGTGAATGTAAGTTTCGTCTAAATAAATAACAGGTCTTTTTTCACCACGCTCATTTTCTTTAATTTTTTGTAGGTAGGTTGCTCTCCATGCAACTACGTCGTTACGTTCGCACAATTTATAATCAAGTGTACCCGCAGCTTACCGAAGCTCAGCATGGTTTTCGGTCAGGTCGAAGTACGGGGAGTAATTTAATGTCTTTTATGAATTATGTGGTGCCAGTAGTAGATGCTGGGAGCCAGGTTGACACCGCATATTTTGATTTTCAAAAAGCCTTTGATACCGTTGATAACGATATTTTGTTGGTAAAGTTTGCCGAGTTAGGTTTTACACCTAGCTTACTAAATTTTTTTGCAAATTATCTTAGTGGACGTAGACAATACGTGGATTTTGGAGGTTTTGAGTCGCAACCGTACTGTATTTATTCTGGAGTGAGTCAAGGGAGCAATCTCGGTCCTTTATCATTTATGTTAATGGTTAATGATCTTCCTACGGTCATTGAGGAGGCACAGTGTTTGCTATTTGCCGACGATCTTAAAATTTATTTGAAAGTAAGCAATACTTCTGACTGTCAAATTTTGCAAAGAGACATTGACAGAGTGGCACGGTGGGGTATAGTAAACAAATTGAGCTTAAATGTGAATAAATGTTGTGTCATGAGTTATGGTCGTGCAAAAGCCCCTCATAATTATGCTTACCAAATGAACGGCCTCGTAATCCCTCGAGTTACACACATTAGAGACTTAGGCGTCGAAATGGTCCCGGAACTTAATTTTCGTAACCACATTTTAAATATTTGTAAAAAAGCTTTTAGGAATCTCGGCTTTATCTTAAGGCAGTGCAGGGATTTCCGTAATGTAGTTACTATTAGAATTTTATATAATGCTCTCGTAAGAAGTCAACTTGAAACGAATGCCATTATTTGGAATCCACATGAAAGCAAATATAGTGTCATGATCGAAAAACTTCAAAATAAATTTACACGATTTTTATATTTCAAACAGTACGGAGTCTATCCTAGTTTTCCACTCATGTATCCGAGTCTATTTGTACTGGGTATGGTCGGTTACAGCCGCCTGAGTGTGAGGAGAGACATCGCGCTTATTAAATATGTGTGGAACGTATTACGTGGATGGATACATCACCCAGAAGTGCTCGCTGCGCTAAAGCTACGTGTACCTGATAATTACGTGTGTTCTCGTCGCCGCGCCCCGTTACTCTTCGTGCCCACTGCTAGGACGAAGTTGCTTCAGAATGCACCATTGACACGTGCCATACACTACGTTAATATCATCTCACAGGATATTGACATATTTACATGTAGTCAGACGAAGTTCACAATTGCAGCATACAAATGCGTTGAAAATTGTAATTTTTTTTTTAATTAGTATTTTATTTTATAATCATGTTAATATTATTATTCATTATTTTATAGTCATTATTTATTAGTAATTAGTTTTCTTATATTTAGGTTAGTTATAGCATCGCATTGGTTAATATAACTGTAATGATGTTATAATTATGAAATAAATAAATAAATAAAAAATAAATAAATAAAAAACACTTTTCTATTTGATTTCGTTTTCTTATAACGAAATCCTATTTTGTGAAGCAATTTTCGAAGTTTCACGTTCTCCTTTGAAATCAATATCTTCCTTTAAAATACTCAGTAATTTGGGTATGGTAGGGATTTCTTTTTTCACTGAATAAAATTCGTGAATTTTTCTTCTTATAACACCAATGTCAAAATTATCAACCTCTTGCTTCCCGGTTTTTCTTTGCCTTTTTTTGCCAGGGGTAGAAATTTTAGAATTGGATTCTTCAGCGTGTTTCTCTTCATTTACGAGTTTGTGTACAAATCGCTCAGAAACACCTGTAACGAAACGACAAATAATTATTGTATAGGTAAAATTAAATAAATGTAAGTCCGTGTATATGCCGTCACTAAAGCTACTTCACAGACCACAAACTACAAAGCTAGGTACTTTAGACGAATTACAGTAAATTGAGATAATTTTTTTACTATGTTTTACAAGTACATTATTTGGTGATTTTAATTTTCCATATCTGGCAATACTAACCAGTCGCGGCAGCAACGCGCTCATACAGCTTTTCAAATGGTATAGTTGGGGCTTGTACACGTTTCTCTTCTTTCATAAAAGATAAAACTTTTAGGATAATCTGTCGCGCATCACTTTTAAGAGCTTTAGGCATTTTAATTGCACTTTTTAAAAACATTCACCTGATAGCTCAGAATAAATAATAACTGACAGCGAAATGTCATTTACAAAATGGCGGCATTAGTTCCAATTTTGTCCACCTGAACAGATAAGTTGGTGGCACTGTAATTGTTGTAACTGTATTGTAAATACTGATATTTTGTCAAGAAATCATCGTAAAAGTATTTTTTTTTTAATTAAGTATTAATAAAATAAGTCGTCATTGTCGAGGTATATGCGTTGATTCTGTTCCATTTGTGGAAACACTATTTTCTTTTTTTTATTATTAAAGTATGATTTTTTTTTGTTTAATGAGAGTTCTTTACTGTTTCTCTAAATATTATAGTGCTCGAAACGTCAGGAATATAAAATAAGTTAATATACGCGATAAAATCTGTAAAACTAGTTTCATTTAAATGTATAGTAAACGCGTAAATATAAGAAATCATTATAATTATTCAGTCTTATCTGTTTTTTTAACATCTGTAAATATAAACATTACGTCAAAAATTTGGACAGTAATATTCTTAGATTTTGCAAAAACTTTCTGTACTTATTTTTTATATTTAGTAACAATTATATTTAGATTTAAGTTGTTTGTCAAGCAATATCTTTAAATTTTTCACAAGATAAAGAATAAATAAATAATTATAACTGTTTCAATTACTTTCATTACTAAATGAATGTGTTGCCCTATCCAAAAGCATATTTACATTCAGGTAATAATATAACCATTACACATACACCATAGAATAGAATAGAATATGCTTTACTAAGTAGACCAATAATTTAAAACAAATTAAAAAAGATTGTAAAACAGTAATAAAAAATATTGTGCAGTTCGACTCCACTCTCCTTGTCCAAGCGACGAGCCTCGGTCGTAAAATTCTATTGGTTTTTGTACGTTGCTTTGTCAATACAACTTTAGGCATTTCACTTAAGGTTGAATTTACATTAATGTATATTTATATCAACTAGAATTACGTCAAAACATTTGGCGACAGTTTTTAGAGAACTTTTGTATGGAATTGTGCATCAAGTTTTTTATTAGTGATCGATGGAAGTAACACATAAAAAAATACAATCGAATTGAGAACCTCCTCCTTTTTTTGAAGTTTGTTGAAAATGCGTAAAAGCGCCATCTATCCGACGGCTGCTAAGTCACTCACTTGATGACACCCACTTGAGATGTTTTGAGGACATTTCTTATGTTGATATTGTATACAGTTAATGCTAAATATTAAATAATAAAAATAAAAATTTACAGTTGACCGAAGCAGATCAGATGCAGTACAAAGACTTTCCGCTTGTGATCTCCGAGCGCTGGCAATCGGAAGTAGCGGAGACTGTGTTCGAAACAATCAATCAAGAGGCAGACAAGATGGAGCTCAAGAAGAAGTCCAAGCAGAAGCAAAAGTTTGATGCTGATGAAAAAGGTTCACTGTGCACTACACTAACTAAATATAATGTTATCCTATGATAATAATATTAATTAGAAACTAAATGGGGTGTAAGAGTGATGACACAACTTTGTATTTAATCATTAATGAACCTTCTTTATAAGCGCCTTCTTGTTCATCAGCTCGTAAAGTCCACTGCTGGACATGGGTCCCTCCCGTTGTAGGAGGTTACATACATTTTTACCACATGCCGTGAGGAGGCGACTTATGAGAATCCATTTGCCATGGTTGTCGTAAGTGGTGACTAAAGGAAAATTGTCCTACGATCTTGTGACCCATAACATCTTGCGGCCACCTACAGAAAGTAGTATAACAATATCGTAGTTATACCAGTTAAAATACCCATCTCGGTGAAAGCAGGCTTCAAAAATGTGAGACCTCTGGTAATGCAAGCGCAAATTCGCCAGCTAAGCGTGGCGATTACGGCCAATTCTCTATACCACGGAAGAGGCCCATAGACGTACGCTTGGACTGCTTACGGGTTGATAAAGAATTAATCTCATTAAAATGTATAGAAATATGAATATGATAATACATATAATACATTTACGGCCAAATACTCAAACGCTACTCAATTTTAAGATGTAGTTATGTCTCATGTTGTCACAGTCACTTTGATATAAAGTGATAGAGACAGCACGATAAATTGATTCTTGAATTCTTATAAATAAGGAGTAATATCGTATGTGCGAAAAAGTACTTCGAAATTTTGGAATTATGTTTCTTATTTTTATGAAAACAAAAGTTTTATTTCCTAAGGAATCCAATTTAAACTTACAGGGTTCACAACTCACAATAATTTTAAGTTCCATCGATTGCGACTGAGACCAAGCCACGACTAGCTAGACTACTAACAAATATTTGGTATAAAAATCGGATCGCGTAAATACTTATCTACCCTATCCTGGTTAACAATACTTTGTTCGCTTCACAGAATCAGATTGCATCCTGCACGGCTACATTAAAAAGCTGGGCGGTCCTTTTGCCAGTGCTTGGCAGACGCGGTACGCGAAACTGTATCCAAATAGGCTGGAACTACACTTGGAGAACAGTGCCAAGCCGGAGATGATACTGCTGGATACTGTGGAGGAGGTCTCTTCGGATCTCGTATCTATTAAAGGCGAGCAGTGTATCGTGCTGCGTACTAGGAATGACACAAAAATTGTGCTCACTAATACCGTGAGTAATTTGTTTGTTTTATTGACACTTTTTACATAACATCCATAAACATAAACACTCATGCCTGTCACCCAGAGGGGTAGGCTGAGGCAGATACTAGGCACAGACTTTTTACTTACTTATAATCATCAATCTGTTAGCAGTTACAGGTTTATTGCTCGTTTGTCACTCTATTATTATTATTTATATATTTTTTAAATTTTATACTTAAATGAAAATAAATGTAGTTATTATTTCCAACACTAAAAAAGTTTTACTAGGTGATTGACACTTTCTCTTTAGGAACCTGTATGGGTTAGTACCGATCTCTTTCATAATGTCGTATTTCTGCTAAGTATTAGTACACTGTTGTTTGTGTTCAGGTTTGAAGGAGTAAGAGAGCCAGTATAATAAAAGGCAATGAGGGATTTTATCTTAGATTTCCAGCGTGACAATGAGCACTTGTAGCCAATTCCAAACACAGAAGCAAATTGAATATAATCACTGTGTTTAAGAGGCGGGACTTCCTTAGTAAATGAATGAAAGGACGCCAAGCTACTTCACCAACATCAAGACATGACATTAAATTTTAGACAAACAGTGCTGCTGCATAGGCGAATCATAATAGTGCTGTAAATGTCTAGCCTCGAACGATTTTATCGATATAATGTTTATCTGTTTATCGATATTTTTATATAATAAAAGTTACATCTCTGTACTGAATGATTTATGGCAAAGAGAAGTTTTTACGTGGGATTGAGTAAAATTGCCGATTAACATAAGAAATCATTGTATTTTACACAAAGTAATTTGTAGTTATCGCTCTACAACTATTAGGTACAAAATATGTATAAAAAAACATAAAATAAACAACACACTAGCAATTAATTAAGTAAAAAATAAATGACGACTACGTTCTTCTACGCTCTGTGGGACCGAAGGTTCGTTCCCGCACTGAACAAGTGTTTCTATGCTGTAAAATAAATAGTCTGCGTCTGGATGATTGTTTTTATCGTTAGTTTTTTTAATGGTTTAAACATTGTTTTTTTTTAACACTGATTGGATTAATTTGTGTTAAGTTTAACAAATACTATGTACAAATCAATAGGCTTCTTCACAGAGGTATATACTACTCGCAGAGATCACTTACTTAATAGTCGCTTCCAAAATTAGTGCACATTATAGCTAATGTTTGTAGATGAATCCAAAAAAAAAACTGTAAATATTTATAATCAAGTAATTACAAATAACTTCTAGTTTAGTTATATAATCGAATTCTTATCAAAATGTGATTTTTAAGGGTTTATTTTCTTTTGCTACATATAAATGAAATCTAATTAACATAACATAATTATGGAAGTTTTGAGTCCACACATTTTTATTTAACAAATAGAATGTAAGCAGTCACAATTGATAATATAGTCTCGTAAGTATAGCTCGTTTCGGATTGCCATCCAGTCGAACTATCAGAGTTAGAGTGTGTTTGCATTTGTGCACACAATCGTACACTTTAAAAACCTACCTAGTAGATGACTATTACATATAAATATAAATATCATATTACAATTAAAGTTGAAATCACCACATACTTTAGGGAAATATTTTTATGTATAACCTTTTCTTGTTATTATTAATTTCGTTTCTTACACTATCTCATTGGCAAGTTTTGCTTATTTGATTTGACAATGTCATTGATATGGCGGCTGTTCACGTTGGCCAACATAGTGGCGAATGTGTTGGCATTTGAAATTTACAAATAGACTTGAAACACTTGTGTTTCACAAACAATTTTTGGTTTGGTAGGGCTCTATAAAACGAAAAGTTTTTCCATTGGTCATTGTTACTGCCATTATGTAGACACTAGTTACGATGCGTGCATATAAAATTTAAATCAGGTGCGTGCGATCACTCTGGGAGCCTCAACCCTTTGATCTTTTGTAAAAAACCGATACCACACGGATCTCGCGCCTACTTGTGGGCTATCATTCCAATACATACCAACGTAAGCATAAACATCCGCTCTACACGATGACCATCGTTATTGGCCAACACATTCGCCAGTATGTTGACCAACGTGAAGAGCCGCCTATAGACATATTACGAAAAGTAGAAAGAAGCGTTAACTGACATTAAAATTTGCCCCCGTTTCGTACATATAATTTTTACTATGGAAGTTGCACTAGCGCCTGCACAGACCTCTCTGCGTCACCTCTATAAACTAAGATTTGATGCCTCACTCACGCTCACGGGATTTTTGTTATAATAGATCGAAGTAAGAATGTAAAATTTTACAACAGTACAAAGTAGTTGTGGTAGACAAAGCAAAAAAACTTTGATTTGGGACTTGAAAAAGTTTGATATTACGAAACCTGTATCTTATAATCTATACTTTAAACCTAAGTGACATACCGTATCGAAATTCTCAATCGCCGCTTGTTTCCGATTTGGTATCTGAAATATTTTAGTATTGCGGAATCGATACCTTTTTTTTATAGAATATGGTTGACAAATTAGCACTCAGTCCACCTGACGGTAGGTGGATGTTGTGGCTCATATGCTTCCTCTACACACTCGCTAAGTAACTTCGACGAAGTACTCGTCGAAGTCGATCGCAGTCCGAAGAACGTGACCACACACTCGTGCTACTTCGCGAAGAGCTCAGTCATTTTGAGTCTCCCGCACCCTTAACATGAATGACGTTCAAGAGGCAGCTGCTATAGGTACCTAATTTTGTGAACAGTACGAAGTAAATGCGTTAACTAAATATATAATTATGCAGAAAGCTACATATTTAATATTTATATATTAAAAAATATTCATAACTGACGTGAGCCGAGTAATGTAAAGAGACGCTTTGTGTAACTTTGGGGTACTTCGCGAAGTCCTTTGACTCTGGCGCAAAAATCCGACAGCGATCGGAAGTCGCCCGAGGTGAAGCGAAGTTGGACGAAGTGAATCGAAGTACCTCTCTACACTATTCGCCTCGTTTAACTTCGATCTACTTCGCGAGTAGTGTGGAGGAGGCAATACATAATTACATTTATCCCCGATTAAGAATCTGAATGTAGATGCGTTATCATTTCTAAGGATGAAAAATGAAGATGGAATGCTTTATTTCCAGTAAAAAGTGTATTTGGTGCTCTACATTTACTATTTAACGCCTAGTATTCTATGAGAGCGTGGTCCCTCCCCTCTCGAGTCGACCCAGTCGTGCTGCAATCATAAAATAGTTACAGCATGGTTCTACCACAGAGGTTCCTAAAGTGGGTTCCGCGGAACCTAAGGGTTTAGTGTTCCGTGAAATTATTTATTTTCCTTGTTAAATAATTTCACACTTTGGTACAAAAAATATTTTGAATTTGCGCAAAATATTATGTGATGAGAAAAACGCATTACTGTTATATAGATACGTAGGTAGTTAGCGAGGATTATATTATAATATTTCAATTGCACTGTCTATGATATGCAATCATTTGATGTGGGGTTACATAAAATAAAAGGGATTCGGTGAGTGTTTCGTTACCTTAAAAGTTTGGGAAGTCCTGTGCCACGTTTAACGGTAAGTTTAATTGTAACGTTGACATGTGGGCAGGACGAGATCGGTCTGAAGGAGTGGGCGCTGTCGCTGCGGTCGGCGCACAAGTGCTCGCAGGAGCTGCTGGCGTCCATGGCGCGCAAGGCGGGCAAGATCTACGGCACCGACGCCAAGGAGGCGGCCGCCGCGCCGCGCCCGCACAACGGCGCCAACTAGCACGAGCCGCCCGCGCCCCCGCGGGCCAACGTCTTCCGCCGCTCCAAGAGCGCCGCGCAGCTCATCAAGTAGGCTGCGCACCGCCGCACTCGAACACCCGCGCCACACACACGCCCACCGTACTACTGCTGTCGTCGCCGTATACCGTTACTACGATTAATTACGATATTTGCCCGTTAAAGTCCACTTAGTTCTGCCCATATATTGTCTTTTTTTAAAGAAAATATTGACTACAGTACAATACGATTCGGATAAGAATAGGAACGTCCATGACTTCGAATGACCGCGATCTGTCAACTATCACTTGAAAAGTACAGTTTGCAAAGAAAATTATTTTTCCACTTTTATATTTATTTAACCAAATGCTTAATATTTCCAAATCTATTGAAATCATTCATATAGTTTTAAAAATAATTTAAAACTGTTCTTTTCATCCATTTTCATTATGGGCAATATTTAGCCAAAAAGTAAATTATAAAATTAAATAAATAATTAATTAAATAAATTAAATTAATTATTATTAGTGCTAGATTTCAATTAAAATTTTTCTTTGATTATTTTGTATTTATCTGTAAATACATATTATTTCAAAAATATCTATTTGACTACCCTATCAAACTAGGTTGAATTGAGAGCTATGACGTCACAATATCTTACTCTTATTTGAATCGCATTGTAGTTGCCACGGTTGGCATGCGGATTTTTTTGTTTTTTAGTTTTTAGTGGGAAGAGTTTCCTGAGAAGTGTTTCCCCTGTCGCTTCTTACGACTCCCACGAAACGATATGGGCTAGTGGATATTCTTATATGGTTAATACATACGGTGTAATACACATTTCGTTAATTGTCTTATCTTGATAAAATACGACACAAGAACCGACCGTAGTTAGTGATTAAGATATAGATTCGAAATATAAAAATCCGCTATTCGACTACTATAAATGATTCCTAACACAATAAACCATTAACCGAAGGTACTAGTTATGTTAATAGCGTTATAAAAACAACAAACACTTCAAACATAGAATTTATATTATTACGTACTTTTTAAATAAAAAAAATTGATTACATATTAAAATAAAAAAATCGTTTGCGAGGTAAGACAGTTAAAGAAATGGATAAGTACGGCGCAACTCGATTACACTGAGCAGGGTCACGCGAAGCCGTTTCGTTGTAATACACATCTTGCAGAGCTTGAATAGGGCCTGTCTACTCTAATAAGAGATAGTTCAACTGTGTAGCTCTGTCGTCGTAAATAAAAAGTATCCATATCTACTTTGTTTACGAATATTGAATAATAAAGAAAAAAACGCATCTACTAGTATTTTTAAAGTACGTAAAGCAATGTTTCCTCTGTAGATTAGCAATTGTAGTGGTTCCGTATATATTTCAACCACATCCAATGATAAATTAAAGAGACGATTGATATTTTTTTAATAACCTATTTTAATTACAATTATCTCAAAATGTTAAAAATAGTAGCAAATGCGTCCTTTTTAATTTGACGGCAGGCAGCTCTGCTCAGTGTCTAAAATGTATCGGAAGCCCTTACGAGAATTGTACAATCAAGGAGAGTCAATACAAGGAGCTGTGCTGTCCAACGTTTAAAGGCTTCAAAGGTTCAAGGAGAGCTGTGTGTGGTGAACAGACTATTAAACTTTGTAAAGTGAAGTTTTGTTGCATTTTGAATAAATGTAAGATTTTTTTTTCAAAAACTGTGGTTTAGATGTTGGTGATGACCTGAGATCAAAGTCTTTCTTTTTGATTATTTTTTCTTTGATTAGATGTCAGTGCCACTCTTCAACCTATAGTGTAAAATTAGCAATATAAAATAAATTGTTACTTTAGTTATGCTCATTGAAATAACTATACTATTAAATATTAATCTTATTAAATCTGATTAAGAACATTAGTGGAACAAATCTACATCTACATTTTTGTAATTTACATTTTTTTTTACGTCTGTATGTGTTAACATAGTCAAAACGATATTTATATAACAATTAAAATAGTTCACTGTTTTCTTCAGATTAGACTAAATGGAAAAATTCATTGGGGTGCCTAGAATTCCTGTTAAATAGGGGCCTAACAGTAATCTAGGCACTATTTGGTATGCCGAATATGTTGTTTAACAACTGCTGATGCTCGCATCATATCCTGCAAATGTGATAGGATCGATCAAATCTATAATAAAATATTTAAGTAAAGTTTATTTACTTGCGGCAATTACTCGATTGTGTATAATGATTAATGACTTACGTAATCGTTTGCGCGATTGGATTTTGTAATTATTAACATAATGTTCTGGATGTTGTATTTAACTACATAATATGTGGTAGGTATTGTAAAGAAAATAAAAATATAAAACGAGTAGATAATTATAGTGTCGAACTTTGTGTTTTGTGCAATAGGTCAAGCAAAATGTTAAGAACAGAAAAATGTAACTAAATTTAATGAAATATTAGAATCGTCTTTGAAAATTTAATGCGAATTGGCATGATAATATTAATACATAATTATAGAAGCTTCGACTTAATCGATTTATAACGTAATTAGGAGTTATAGCACTTCGGTCATACCTCTGACTATTGCACATAAGTAACGATTTAAATGGTATGTTACTTCGTATAAGGTGGCTCTCTCCTTATTGTTCTTATGTTATCTTCTCGTAAATATGATTGTGGAGCAACACTATTTATTGAAGGGTACTTAAATGTTTCATTTCCTTGTTGAGTTTCGTATCAATTGTTCGTTTAATGTTAATGTTATTTATTTAAATGGATACCATTGTAAGTAGATCTAATGAAAAATCTCTTTTCGTAATGCATAGAGGCAACTTTTCTAACAACATATTGGTGTGATGAGTAATAACAATAGTAATAAATGCAATATTTAGAGAAATTTTAAAAGTGAGTCTATTGTAATGAACAATATTCAGTTAACTCGAGGTTTGTAATTTAATAAATATTCCATAGAAAATATAATCTCTGTGTTCGTCTGATCAACTTTTGAATGTTTTGTAACAATGCAAGTTTATTTAATAATATATTTCGTGTCTGATGCAGATTTAGTTTATTCGCTTTTTAATTTTAATACTTTTTTGCCATATAAATAATATAAACATTCATAAATAGTATTTTTGTTCGTCTGTGGCTATCTTTACAGCAAATAACTTAAATGTGGGAAAATAAGCCATAATGTCAAAGGATTTCTAATAAATTATATTGGTGAATGCTAGGCGAAAATGAAGTATGCATGGTGGGAGATAAATTAATAAGAATTTAATGTTTTATGTGTATTATAGTTAAATAAATTGCAATAATTATATTGTATTATACCTAATTAATATTACATAATGGACCTTTGTATCTTGAGGAATGTGCCGATTTAGTTTTAACACACTGTACAGTATAAATATAACTTGAGCAATATTCTTATTTCTGCTATGAAATTTACCTAATGACTATATGTACAAATGGACAACATATTAAATAAACATTCCTCTTCGCATACTAAATGTATCACGTGACAAGGTTTTATTTCAACTCATAACATGTATTTTAAAAATAGAATAATAAAATAAATATATAATTGTGTTTTAAAGCTGAAGAAATGCTAACTAAAGTAATAGACATAGAGAGGATGGACTGTGCGTTCTGTATTCAGTAATTGTGCAGTGACTACAGATCGAAAAATGCGATAGAGACAAAACGAATGTGCGTCCAGTAGTAGTCGCTTTCTAGAATTTCCTGCAAGCCTGATTGATTCACGTCACTTGCTTGCCGGACGTGGATCAATCAGGCTTGCAGGAAAGGAAAGAGACAGGTATTGGTCGCACAGTCGCTTTGTCTTTTACTAGAGAATTGTCACTTTTGTGAGGCTAACGCTCAATCCATTCTGTATGTCTATGCTAACAGTGCAGTGTCGTGTTAAAAATAATGAATTTACTTTCAAAAGTAGAATCGTATTGTTCTAAATTCCGTATAGATTCAAGGAACACGACAATAATCAAGTAGATTAGCCAAAGCCTTTTATAGTTTTCCTGAAACTTCTGAAACTATATGTTAATATTCCTTTACTGAATTTAACTTGTACATATTTTATCGTAATAAACTTAAAAGATAAAATTACAGCCTATATACGTCCCACTACTGGGCACAAGCTCCCTCTCAGTTTTGAGAGGGTTATCATAATAACATGAATAATGTGTTTGGTGTTTACTGTTACATATATGTTACGCACATTGACTAAATGCTTTTAAATTGCTGAATAATACCATTTTCTACAGATTATAAATTAAAAGTTTCTATCAAAAATGTTAATACTAAAGATATGTTTAAAAAAAATCATTAATTTTAATAGGATAGTTTATTTGTATACACTGTTTAACTGTTTCTCAAGCTGTACATTATTTTACACGTACATAATATACTTATATAAGACATCAGTTCTATATTATGTTTGAGTATAGATAATCTGAAGGGTAGTCTACTAAAGCGTGATATACTAAAAACGATAACTTGTAAAAATGAGAGAAGAGCCAAACTAGGTGTTTTTTTAAATATGCCTACATTTTGTCTCTTCATACATCACATTTAAAAAAATCACAAAAGTACCTGGCGGTTAAAGCAACTGTTATGTTCATGTTTGTTCATACTTACGAATATGATGTTTTTAGAAGTCATATTTCAGTAATTTAAAAATAAATAAACAATTATGATGTAATACAGTGACAGGCACATAATTATTAAAACATTATTATGAACACATAACCCACCTTCAAGAAAAGAGCCCACTCATTTCTAATTGAAACTTGAAAACTTCAATTATTGATGACCATTTACTACATTGCATAGTATACCCGGAACGTAATTCAAATGCTGAGGTTAGTCATTCTGACGGTGTGCTACTTATTAGGTGGTGGGACTTCTTCGCTGCCTAGGGGTTCATCTGGTTGGGTTCCGCTAGGAATGTCAAATGTCGCCACATTGCGTGCACTGCT